AATATAATTTACAGAAGAAGAAAAAAGGCATATTCTTCTAATTTCGAGGACTCTTAGTTTAGTTCCTGTAAAACATAGTGATTTGGTATAAAAGATAGAGTCAACGTGAGTTATGTGTTTCTTATGAACGATCTTGGAATACTAGACGAAAGTAATTTTGCATTATTAAAATGCAATAGAAAACAATATTACAATATTTGATATTAAATTTTGATTACTTTATGAAATATTTATACGCCATTGCACACTTAAATGATTAAAGGGAATATAATGTGGAATCATCAATTGAGTAATCTTAATGTAGTAATACCTGTCCCCAAGCAGAGTAAGGTGCTCGAATAAATTCTACGTCATTTTCTTTGAAGACGCTGAACACGAAATATAATAAATCCTGCTGGTGGATAGATCCAGAACTTGCCCATTGACTATAAGCAGAATCAACTCGACCTTTTTCATACGTATCCCAAGCTTGTGACCGTTTTCCTGGCCTTGTATCCTCTACTGAAAATGGTTTGTCTTTGCGAATAACGCTGAGACCATTGAATACAAACACTGGAGTAATTCCATATGATCTAATATAATAAAACATTTTATATATAAATTTTATATAAATAAAACTATTAACCGATATGTTTGACTATATAACCTTAAGAGTTCCAGTTCTTTTTCTATTGCAGCTTTAAGCCCAATCGGTATGCCACCTATAGCAGCGGTTGCAGGCTCTTTCGCAGAGCTCTGTAAAAGCTTACGAAGCCAATGTGCGCCTTCGATTCCAAGGCGAGTATCTCTCAAAAGTGAAAGTGAAGATGTTTGGACGAGACGACGTTCTGCGGTAAAAACTAAAAAAGATTCGAAGATTCTAGTTTTTTTAATCATTTACATGATTTTATTTATGATTTCAGACTTACTTTCGAAATGCCTAATCATTTTGCTGTAAATCCGTTATAAAAAAAAAATCAAGTGTGGTTCTAATTTGTTCTCGCGAATTAAAATTTTTGGTTTCGTGGAGCGGGTTCTACTAGCCAATCAAAAAGCATATAGCTATCAGCCAATCAGGTAATTTAAAGAATGACCGGATTGAATCATTTTAATAGATGTTCGAAAAACAAGTCGGCAGCCTCTTCGATCGGTATTAGACGAATTGGATCGTTGTAACTAGAGGTCTGCAAATGTCATAGACAGAAATTCGTCTGATTGGCAACAGGGGGAAACGTCGAACGTCATAAAATCGTTACACAATTGATAAAAAATTTTTTTATATTATTTTACAATACTTTTTGGAAGGCTCGCTTGACTTATCTTTTATATGAATATTGAAAATAATTAAACAAACATGAAGCTCTCACTTTGC